CTCACAAAAGAAACAATTTTTTTTAGTCGCAGTTCACAAATTTGTGTTATTGATGTATGCTGTTTGCTGTTGAAAGCATGTTTCATGCCATGTTTCTGTGGTGACCTTTGACCTCATTGTTTCAGCTGATGAAAATTTTACTTTATACGAGCCGTAATAATAAGGGAAAGTTATATAGCAAATTTTATCGATTTTATTAATAATTGGCGGTACAATTAATTAGGAACAAAATATGAGTAAAAATCTTTTAAAAAGATCGGTTGACGTTTTCTACAAGAAATAACAAATAATAAACAAAAAGTGATTCAGAATTCTTGATTGCAAATGTCAAAATTTATAGGATTTTGAATTGAGCTCTTTTCCTGAATTTTTTCGTTTCATTCGTTCCTGTGTGTCTAATTATGAAATGTCATTTGATATTTTTCTACCAGATGAAACTATCCAGTGAGGAGCTTCACTTGAGCGTATGGTGAAAATAATCAAAATCAGCGAAGTCTAACAAGAAATTAGCTTATCTGAAAATTAATAAAAAATCAAAATGATATTAATCGAAAGATGACTGAAGCAATATTCCAAAAGCTCAAGCATATTACCGCCTAATATCGAATAAAATATTTCAAATCACGCTTAGAGGATGATAGTTCTCGATAGGTTGAAATTCACTTCAATTTCGTATCAATAAAATAAGCGCTTTAACAAGATTCTGCTTCTTTTATACTTGGACAGTTGAACTTTTTTCGAATTTCATTAACTACTTCATTTTAAGGGCACCACAATTCTTTTAAGTTTCAAGTTGAATGTCGCGCATTTTTCATCGCATTGTTACTTGCAATGAATAAAAAAAAAAAACAAAGCGAATGTTACAAATTAACATATCAAAATAAATATAAGCAGTGGTGAAATTCTATTTCCCTATACAACTAATAAAGTTGATAGCTGATTTTCATTAAAGATAGCTGGGATGTAAAAACATTTGTTTATTTGATTGTAGTATGATTTGAGCCTAATTGTTCGTAACACTATGGCAGCTCGAAATTCTGAAAGAATCAATGTGAATCAATTTTAAAATAGTCTAAAATTTCAGACCTGATGCTTAATTGCAGTACAAAATTAGCTAACGAAATTCTGCGTCTTCAATCAGTGGATGGCGTTGGTTGCGACAGAACTTCACATGCTGTGTTTGTCACATTTGCTTCCTAATATGTTCGCTTTTAGACTATTTTTATACCAAATTTGTAAAATTGACTCCCTTCAGAAGAGCAAAATATCTTTTTAGCTGATTCAGCTTGTCGTCCTTTTGCAGCTTCTCTAAAAGTTAATTTGAGTTCGGAGTATTCACTGATCATTTTACTGGTTGTCCAAATTAGTCTAAAACAGGAAGTCCTGAAATAAGATTTTAGGCTCACATAATTATTTCATTTTAGGCTCATACAATTATTTGATAAAAACGCAGTATTGCTCATAATATCCTTAGAAACTAGGTAGTATTAATAAGTGAACTGGTAAGAGTCATTTAATATCGATTGCCATTTAATATCTTATCCATGAATTGTTTAATTTTCCTAGAGAAGACATTTTGCTTCAGTTTAATCATGACAATATTAACATGATTACCAATATTAATTAATGATCAATTATAAAAGACGATAAATAGAGACAAAGGCCAAAGACTAATGATAAACTGTGGCAAAGATCATTCCTGATCAGGATCATTTCTGCATTTTCTGGATGTGCTAAAATTCATGCAGCTTAACTTATATCCTTATTTCTTGAAATTTAATGCGATCAAATTTGAATAATTTAGAGAGAAGGAAATAGACCTTTCTTGATAACTTTTGCCAAACTTAGTCAGTCACTGCGTCTATAAATCTCAAATTGTACAATGCGCCAAGAGATATGCTTTGCAAATGAACTATTAAAAGAAAAGTAGTCTTTAAAAATACCTTGCCGTTGTATTAACCTAATAAATAAAAACTTGAAGATTGTTCAACCTCCACTGATAGTGACATTAATTAAATTAAACTTTCATTTTTTTGATGGCAGTTTTAAAAGAATTCATCCAGCATCTTTGAAATTTTATTTTCTAAACATTTAAAAGTGATCATCGACCTAAGTTTTCTTTTCCGTCCTTCATTGAAGTTCTGAATAGTCTCAGCTGTGTCCTTCAACCAATACCTGTGGATCCAACAAACTGGATCATTAAGGAAACATAAACTCCGTTCCCCTCAGAGTGCTGCCGCCAAGCGATCCGTGTAATTGAGATCTAATTCTAATGTCCACAATCTTCAACCCTCAAATGAAAAATGAATTTTACCGGCTTGCCCTTTCGAGAATTATAAGCTTTGTCATTACAGACGCTTTAGTGACCCTAAGCGTGTTGCATTTAAGCCATGTGATAGTGAGGTTAAATATTTGCATACCAGAGATATAGTTAACATAGATGAGGTATTAGAGACAGATGAAATGAAACGATGAAAATACATCATGACTAATGAAATGTGCAATGGTATGAAAGAGAAAGCGAGAGAGAGGGAGAGAGGAATGCCTTCAGACATGGACTGATGGACAGCAGATTAGCTCGTCCAGGCAAAACTAATGGCCTTAATTAATCATCCTTCATGAACAGCCGTTCTTCCAATGTCACTGATCAGATAAGGACATTGATGTGATGAAGTCAGGAGAACTTAATGGATTTATTTCACTGGATCACATTCTAAAAAAATGACACCCTTTGTTGGCCAAGAGAATTGCTTTCCATCTATCACATTAGAGGGATGTTGTAACCTTGACGAATGACGAACTATCCAGCTGAATAACCAAACAACAATTACATATACTTCATTCGTATAATATTCTATTCTGATGAAAACTTTCCGAAATAAATTCATTTCTTTTTTTCATCACAAATGATAGTGGAGAAATCAAGATAGTTTTGATCTGAATGAATCCTTTCTGATGAATTGTTTATCATTTCATTGTAAACATAA